CCATCTGAAGAAGCCACCGTCGAAGAAGAAACTCTATTCAGTTTTGAGAAGGGAAACGGTGAAGCTCTTGATGAAGTTACTACCACTGATGTGACTGTTACCGACGATAGGACATTTCCTGATGAAGCAGATGAGCCCCCACATGAACCAGAAGCCAACGAGACGGAGACCAGTACGGAAGAAGATATGTCCCGTAAAATTAAAAGACTTTGTTGAATTGTAATTTTGTGATTGTAATTCCGTACATTTAATTAAGTTATTGTTAATTGTTATTGGTTTATTGTATGTGGTTATTGTTCGGGACGAACAATACTAAGGAGGGGGCAGTGTTGCGTCAGCGAGGTCACGTGACTCGTTCTCTCGAACCTTCGGGAATTGTCGGGAGATTACTAGATATAGGGTAGTCTGGTATATATATATAAGAGGGTGACAATGTGACGGGAGAATAGTGTGTGCATAGACAGGGAGTAATTGATCTGCAGTCAGAGAGTATTATTGAGCACGTTCGTTGTTATATCGTTTGTTTTAGCGCGATTGTTGAAATTAAGTGTATCGTAAAGTTATATTCAGAAAGAATAAACCAGTTTTATTAAGTAAGGACTTGTGTCGCTAAAGTTTCGTCGGAACGAAGTTTGTTTGTTTGTTTGTTTTCTAATTTCGCGCAAAGCTACACCAGGGCTATCTGCACTAGCCGTCCCTAATTTAGCAATGTAAGCTAGTCATCACCACCCTCCGCCAACTCTTGGGCTACTCTTTTACCAACGAATAGTGGGATTGATCGTCACATTATAACTCCCCCCCCCCCACCCACGGCTGAAAGGTCGAGCATGTTTGGTGTGGCAGGGATTCGAACCCGCGACCCACAGATTGCGAGTCGAGCGCCCTTACCACCTTGCAAAAGTTTGTTGTTTCTCATAGTTCCCTGGTTCAGCGACGCTCAATTGAGTTACTAACTTTCACTTTTCTTAAAAGGCAAATTGGCTAAGTGAGGATTAAAATACTACTTGTTTGATTCTCTTACAAGAATAACAACTTTGTTTTAATTAGTGAGTTGAGTTATTCTTGCTGGCAAATCAGATAATAGATACAAATGGAATCGCCCAGTTAAAAAGTTGAGGGTTTATAGATATATCTTAGACAGTGTTGGGGCTTGAAATAGTAGATTTTATACATAATTACACAGATTTAGACTTTACTATGTGTAGGTTTTTAAACAGTGTTTATACAGAATGCGTACAGGATTTAACCAAGATTTTATGCAGTGTTTTCATAACTTCTGTGAAAAAGCTCCTAAAATTCATCATTAATGTATTAGACTTCTGGTAATAGGTTAATATATTTTACTTTGTTTTTCTCACCAAGAACTCCTCAAGTTCTCTTGCGATGTTAGAGGTTAACTTTCACTTTCATTTGTGCAAACGCTGTTCCTGTTTTGCTTGACGATAATTAAGTTACAAACTTACATTCATTTAGTAAACTTTGTAGAAGATGCTTGCGGGGTAGTGGAATATAGTTTCTATTTAAAGTAAGAATTATTATTGTCGTGGCGAAATCCAGTTTCATAGAGGTTAAAGTGAAGATTAACTCTGTTGTTTTACATTTTAACTTGAGGACATTCTCTGCTAGTATTTCTCTTTTATTTTCTAGCCTAATTAACTAGCGAAGAACCCACGTTAGCAAGAGCTCATTGTTTATTAGTTTCATCGCTCTTCCTAGTCCTACACTTTCCAATCCAAAACACAAAATCACTTATTCTATTGTAATCTGTATTGCTATTTATTATATTGTGTCATATTGTTGTTTGTGTTGTAAACTGTGAGAGTCTTATTAAATACGTAAACTTTGTGTAAGTCTGTGTATTATTTCTTTTTTCACGACTCAACTGTCACGACTTGTCAAAAAATCTAGACCCAAACCCAAAATCTGAAAACATCCAATTTCCATTTCAAAATATCTGGATAGTTATCACAGTTAAACTATGTTTGTTAAATAAACGTTTAAAAAATAATTATTCAGAATGTATAAATGGTATTTATTTAACATTGCAAGTACTTACTTTCTACATTGTGTGGTATTTTCATGTTAAACCGATTTCCCGACAAGTATCAGGTAGGCAAACCTGCAAATTTCAACAAATTCGACCACGTAATTAGTATAATCTTCTGTAATACACTACTTGACTGAGTTCCTGTAAGTGCAAAATAATGAACAAATATTAATAAACGAACAAAATATTTATTACAGCGATAAACCTAAAACACAATGTCCATATCTACGCAGACGAAATAACAATTCTTTCTACGAGGCTTTCTTTAGCTACACAACTTTCTCTGTGTTATGATTAATTTACGCAGAACTGAACATGTTGTTCTTAAAAGTAAATCTCTATTTGATTATCTCCTAGTAAAAACTAGCTAAAGAAAACACGCCTGAATTCAACAGGTAAACTCGCTTTCCTGGTCCAGTCCACAGCATCACCTTTTAATCCTTGTTCCTTCACAGCATTGGTCAGCTGTTACATTCAACGTAATAATTGGCCAGCAGAGGATCTTACAGTAACAATCCTTTTAATCAGGATGCTGTATATTACTGAAATATCTTCTCAGGCAGAAGAAACATCACCTACTAAAGAAACACAGCAATTGGAACAAACTAATCTTAACGACTCTCTGGACCACGTATTGCCACCATTACATCACGGAAACTAAATAATCAAAATATTTTTACAAAATTCTGTATCACTACAGCAGGTACAAAACATGTGCCTGCATATCACAACTGAGCTTGGGACCCTTGATAGCGTGGCTGAAATAATGACAAAAATGAACGGTTATTCATGTCATATATAGAAGTAAGTGTATTCACCTCTTTTAAATTAGTAAGCGAATATTAACGAAATTTGGCGGATTATCAATAAAGATTACAATGCTTTCATATGCAAAATATCATTTTTTAATTAAGTCTTAAGGTTTGTAAAGCAATGTTTTTCTCATGTCTTTTTTTTTTCTTTTCGCATGTTACCTATCTATCATGCAAAGTAATGTTCATTTTAAGATTAAAAATACTTTTATGCACCAGAAAATTTTGAAAGTTCACATGCGAAATCTTTATAATGTCCAGATAGTTATCAAACGTTTCTTAAGAAAAACCTTTATATTTTATCTGTTATTTTCAGTAATTAATCTCTGTAAGGGTTCGGTAGATTTGACCGATCTCGCAACCACCATCAGAAATTAGGAAATAAATATAAATCATGCCTCTTTCATTCTAGAATGAACACAAATTATAACACAAAAACATAAATATTTAGACGAAATAGCTTACATCTCATAACATTATATCGAACTTTTAGCCCTGCCTGGCTAGCCATTCAGAAGTCACAATGACGCCGCTCACGTGCACTCATGTTACCATATAAAATATCAT